TTTTTTTTTTTTTTTTTTTTTCTGCCTTTTCTTTTGTTTGGTGGATAGACCAGATTAGTGTGCATTTTTGGCTAGCGAGCTTATGTATATGGTATTGACAAATTTTGCATGTGGTGCAGAGTCATAATGTTACTAATTATCTCTGTGGTTTATTATGTTGTTTCCTAATCGGTGTTCAAGTTAAAGGTTTGTTATTCAGTTACTTTTGATGCGGTTTGAGAGCCAATGGTTTGAGCTAGAGCACTTAAGTTCGGCTCATTAACTAAATGAAGTTGATGAATAGTAAGTAGTCAGAGTTTGATTTGGCTCATTAATCAATATTAAAAAGTCGAATTTGAGTCTTAACGAGTCGAACTAGAGCTAGTGCTGTTAAATTAAATGAGTCTGGCTCGGCTCGACTCGAGCTCGGCTCGTTAAGGCTCGGTTTGGCTCGAGTTCGAAGCCTTAATGAGCCGAGCTCGAGCTCACTTAAAGCTCGTTCCGAGCTCGGCTCGATAAGGCTCGTTAAGGCTCGAAAAGTGTGTAATTTTTTTATAGTTCGGCTCGTTAAAGCTCGAGATCGGCTCGTTAAGGCTCGAGCTCGAGGCCTTTAACGAGACGAGCTCGAGCTTGACTTTTGGCTCGTTTACTTAACGAGCCGAGCTCGGCTCGGCTCGTTAAGAGCTTGAGTTCGAGCTCAAACACCTAAAGCTCGAGCTTGACTCGGCTCGTTTACAGCCCTAACTAGAGCTTAATGAGCCAATTTATTAAAAAAAATGTAAAAATGTCTTTTTTCAAGCCTTATCGAGCATAATTCGTTGATTAAGCGAATTCGAGCTCGAGTTGTTTGTTAATTGAATTAGAGTTTAGGAGCGGTTGGTTATTTTTGTTCAACTCTGCACAGTGGTTTACCCGTGCATGCGAGTCATTCCTGGGTCATTTTGTTTAAGTCTGTACAGTGGTTTACCCGTGCATGCGAGTCATTCCTGGGTCATTCTATCGCCTGGTACGTCTTGTACTTGCCTCTTACCTCCATAACAACATGTACCCCTTGAAATGATGTCAGGTGTCTTAATGCTTAATTATTTAGTTAAAGAAAAATTTTGTAGAAATACAAAACTACCTTTACTTAAAAAAATATAAAATATATTATTTTAACTCTTAATATATTTATCTAGAAGGTGTTTAATTTTCTTAATTTATTATTTTACCTAAACACATATACATATTCCAACTAAGCAGCAAATTCTTTCCAAATTGCAAGTATATTGAATTTGATCAATCATCTTTTCTCCCATCGGTGTGATTATGAGGGTAGCTTATTTAATTAAAAAAAAAAAAATCAAAATCTGTGCCGAAATAAAAGAAAAAAAATTTTATTGTAGACAAGAATCAGACGGACGGATTTTGGAAATCCTTTTTTAAGAAAAACGGATTTCCAAAATCCGTTTTATTTTTTTTTTTTTACACGGATTTTCAAAAACCTTTTTTTAATTTTTTATTTTTTATTTTTAGATCGGATTGTGAAATTCGGGCTCGTTAGGGCTCGTCTGAACTCATAATTGAGTTATGTTTTTTCCTACATGTCGCCAACGAAGCCTTCTACGTATTTATGCTTTCGAATCTAATTTATTCTTGAAAACCTATTCTCCCAAAGCTCTTGACCTGAAGTTGGCAGCTTCCGTGCACGACTTCGCATATCGAGCCCGTTCGGACTCGTCCGTACTGGAAATTGAGTTTCGATTCTTCGTACATATCGCCAACGAATCCTACTACTAGAGCATGCTTTTATGACCAATTTTCGGGCTGGAACTATCCCTTGCGGGGCTTCCGGCCAAAAATGGGGAAAAAGAATAAATAAAACGAAGAAAACTAGCAAAATTCGGCTCGTTTGGGCTCGTCCGAACTCGAATTGAATTCTGTTTTTTTTTTTCGTACATGTCGCCAACAAAGCCTTCTGTATAATTATGCTTTCAAATCCAACCTATTCATGAAAACCTATTATCCCAAAGCTCTTGACCTGAAGTTGGCGGCTTTCTTGCACGACTTCGCATATCGGGACCGTTAAGACTCGTTTGACTCGAAATGGAGTTTCAATTCTTCCTACATGTCGCCAACGAATCCTACTACTAGAGAATGCTTTTCTGACCAATTTTATGGCTGGAACTATTCCTTGCGGGGCTTCCGACCTAAAATGGGGGAAAAGAATAAATAAAGAAAAAGACTAGCAAAATTCAGGCTCGTTTGGGCTCGTCCGAACTCGAATTTGAATTCCGTTTTTTCCTACATGTCGCCAACTAAGCCTTCTATGTAATTATGATTTCAAATCCAACTTATTCTTTAAAACCTATTATCTCAAAGCTCTTGACCTAAAGTTGGCGGCTTCCTTGCACGACTTCGCATATCGGGACCGTGAGGACTCGTTCGAACTCGAAATTGAGTTTCGATTCTTCTACATGTCGCCAACGAATCCTACTACTAGAGAATGCTTTTCTGACCAATTTTTGGGCTGGAACTATTCCTTGCGGGGCTTCCGGCCTAAAACGGGAGAAAGGAATAAAAAAACGAAGAAGACTAGCAAAATTCAGGCTCGTTTGGGCTCGTCCGAACTCAAAATTGAAATCCGTTTTTTCCTACATGTCGCTAACGAAGCCTTCTATATAATTATGCTTTAAAATCCAACCTATTATTGAAAACCTATCATCTCAAAGCTCTTGACCTGAAGTTTGCGACTTTCTTGCACGACTTGTCCAAACTCGAAATTGAGTTTCGATTCTTCCTACATGTCGCCAACGAATCCTACTACTTTAGCATGCTTTTACGGCAAAATTTTGGGCAAAAAAATCTATTGCGGGGCTTCCGACCTAAAACGGGGGAAAACAAAAAGAAAAACAAAAAAAACTAGCAAAATTGTACTAATTTGAGTTCAATTGGACTAATTTGAGTTCTATTACACTATAATTGACCGTGATTGGTACAATCACGGTCAATTATGCTGCAATCGAACTCGAATTAGTCCAATCAAAGTCAAATTAGTATAATCGAACTCGAATTAGTCCAATCATGGTCAATTATAGTGTAATCTAACTAGAATTAGTCCAATCGAAGTCAAATTACTATAATCGAAGTCAAATTAGTATAATTGAAATCAAATTAGTCCAATCGAAGTCAAATTA